TTCATCTTTGCTACAGAAGTTTTCACCTTAAAATGATAACCTCTGCACCAAAACTATGTTTCTATGTCTCCAGATTTATGAAATTTTTTGCCTGCACAACTCACTGAAACTCTTGAGTCATTGTACAAGGTATCCTATTTTTCTGATCATTAAACCTTTGGCATGCGTGTATGTAAAACATGTATATGACAAAATATCTTCGGCTAATCCAGACAGGTGTACCCCAGAAGAATAATTATTAGTAGTAAGTACTAACCTACGGCATAATCTTTGGTATCTTCACTAACACAATTAAGGAATATTATAATACAGATATCTACTAATATTTCTTATCTTCAAAATTTGATTCAGCAAAGAAATCCACCCACAAACATGTCTGAAAAAGGGTGTTCTAAATGAGTCTTTTTGAGTTCCTAAAATATCTTTTTGGGAGCAAAATTCCAGCAACATTACCACTGACCTCAAACTGTGATATCAATCTCTGAAGTGTTTCCAGTTCTTGTACAGCAGATCATAATTAGTCATTCAGATACGTATTATCTAGTTCTAGCTCTGTATCATTCTGCTCATTGCAAAAATCACATTTGGCCACTTTTCTATTAAATTCACAAAGACTTAATTTCACATCAAGTTTAAAACCTGATTAGGGTTTTGATAATCATCAGTCAAGGTTAACAGGCCCAAAAGGTCACATTTGATTTTTTTCTTTGCATGACATGCATTTTATGAACTTCTCCAGAGATTTTGTTTCTAGTTTTATACCTGATTAAATTCTTATGATTAGTGGTCAAAGTTGAACAACAATAACAGTGACTTAATTCAGTATAGCTCTACACCACCTGAAAAGTCATAAAATACAAGTTCTTACAACTCAACCATATTTATAAGTGATACAAGAACTTCTATTCTATCGACATTACCTACCTGATGAAAATTTTGTGAAAAATTATTGTAGTTTAATCATATTGTGTCACCTAATCATGGAAAGCTACTGTGAGAAAAATACCAGCAGACAGATGGAAGCCAAACCTTGATAAGAACACACAGATTTGTTCAATACTGTTAGATATAATTAATAAGAGAAATTAATACTGAAACTGGGATAAATTAAAAAAAAAGGTTGAGACAACCAAATTGAAAATTAATTACAAGTACACATAATATCGTTTATGTGATATGTGATTTACATGGTATAATGTTTTCTAAAAAATGAAGGTGTCACATTCTTAGGATAACCAGCAGGAACAATACGCCTTATCTATTCTGTTAAAGTTCTTTATTCTACAACTTTAGTGAATAAACACAATTGGGATTGTTAGACTCTTAAAAAAACCTCCGGAAATGGAGAAACAAAGCTGTCAATCTAATACAGAGCTGATCAACTGCCAGAGTTTTGATTTGTCTGTGATTATTTTGACTTCTATGAATTTGCTCTCTAGGTGGTGCTACATGATACAATAACACCAAGATGAACTTGGACCTTACACATAGATATACATTTGTACTAACTTTATTATGAATACTCATTATGCAGCTTATATGTTATATATATAAAAAAAATCCCTACAAAAAATAAATTATGATAAAAACTTTTCATGGAAACATAAACATATTTTCAAAAGAATGATCTGAATCAAAATCAGAAAAAATCTCTATTTGAAAACAAGTGTGACATTTTCACATCTTTAGCGCACATTCTTCTTTCCCTACAATGTGAACATTCCAGCCTAAGTTTTGGGCTACATGAGTTATATACAATATGCTATACCGGGCCTGTGAGATGTGAGAGGGTACAGTAGTATACAGTGTTCAGAGACCTCGTGCTGTTGTATATAAGTAATGGTTTTGTGAGAGGTACTGATCATAAAAGGCACTTTGTCTAATATACAAAACGACACAGGTCTACAGCAAGGCGCCAACATCTCAACAACATTTACATATCACTGCTTACACAATTATGTAAATTTATCCGACAATAAGCCCAGGAAATCAATTTATCCGACAATAAGCCCAGGAAATCAAAGTAAACTTTTTGCCTCAAAATTGGAAGGTGTCCTTAAACCAAGGCAATAATTAATGTGTCTGTTAGCTTGTGAGTTTATTCTGAAACTGCAATGAATATGGATGGGCTTATTACCAGACATGGACTTATTGCCAGATAAATACTATTAAATGGGTCATACTTCTGTACTCAAACAGTTCCAAGTCTTACAAATTATGAACATGAATGAGCATCGAGTAAAAGAAATGACAGCAGGAGAGGAATTCAGTGTTTTGAACACAACAGAATATTTCACAAGTCATTAACGACAGATATTTACATAAAAATATGTTTACAACAATGTCACAACATGTTTATACATTACCAGTTTACAACACAACAACTATTTGATTTTTTAACACTTTTATCTTTGACATGGTCAGAAAAGGCTCCAGTCACAAATTTACAGAGTTTCCTGTACAAAATATTGTCGATTTTAGAATTCAGTAACTCAGGAATATTGAAATCATCTAGGTCTAATTACAGATTAAACAAAATAAGTTTGGACAGTGCATTAAAATATCCTATTCACTACAGAAGCCTCTAAGATTTTTATCAAACCAACATATGAATTAAGAAACCTTAAGGTGTCATCAAATTGGAAGAAATCTTTATATACAGTATTTGTAGTTTAGTTCTATGGCATTTGGGAGAAAAAACTAAAAAAGTAAACAGCAAGCATTTCAATTTGACTGCACTAATATCTGTAGTTCGTATAAATAGAAAAGTAAACTGCAAAAGTAAACAGCAAGCATTTCAATTTGACTGCACTAACATCTGTAGTTCGTATAAAGAGAAAAGAAAACTGCAAAAGTAAACAGCAAGCATTTCAATTTGACTGCACTAACATCTGTAGTTCGTATAAAGAGAAAAGTAAACTGCAAAAGTAAACAGCAAGCATTTCAATTTGACTGCACTAATATCTGTAGTTCGCATAAAGAGAAAAACCTGGTGCTTAACATCAAGTTTCATAAAGGTTCTGAAAGACTAATGCAAGGTTTGAAAGCTTAAAGTTTCCAAATTATTGTGTCAGTCTGGGCTAGGAAAAAGAAGTGTTTAAGAATGTCCTGGAGTGGCTATATTACACTACGATTGTAGAAGTAGCTTTATAAACAATTCTAAAGACACAAACAGTATACATATTACATTGGTTTTGACAACCAACACACAATGACTAACAGTAAAATCAGCAAAATGATTTGATCATGGGACAATGTTCAACAAATACACAAAGCTGTTATAAGCAATGATACACGATTTCTGTACAATTTTCTATCTGGTGTGAATGATTTTACAAATTGAAAACTGCATGTATAACTGGCCCCAGTACAATACTAAAGAACTGACATTATTAATGATGGACTGACATCCTTATCGCACATACACAATTGTCAAACTGAAAGACTTTGTTTAAATATCTATTCCCACTTATACAACGTTAATTTGTAAAGACGCATCACATCAATCAAGCACAGCTAAAATCTTATGTCAAAAAGGACTACATGTCACACAAGTAGTCTCGAAGATGATAAAAAATTAGTCCACTAGGTCTTCACACAGTTTAGAGATTACAGAAAAAGCATATGAAACAATTCATTTTCACATACAGTAATGTATATAGTGTCTCTCAATTACAACCATTCACATAAAGGTTTCTTCTAGTGTCTTCCCTTCAATCCTAATGGATTTATTGTACCTTGTAATTATTTAGGTAGTTAAAACACATGAAGGTAAAATTTCAACCTCCTCACTGGTTGGTCCAAAATGTCTGTAAATTTTGTATGATATTCATAAAGGGCTGCAATTCAAACTTCAGAATAATCTTAAAAACATTGAGAAAAAAAAAAGAAAAAAAGCACGAGTATCAGTGAAACTGGTGAATGATCCCTGACAACAACGTTATTTATAATTCTGTAATTAAGTGACTGATGGTCTTGAATTTGGTAATTTGTATATTGTCTTCATATGATCAAAATTAACACCAAGTTTCGTTATCCTAGTTCAAATGCAGGCCAAGCTATGCCCAGGACTCAAAATTTTTTTAAAAGGCATTTAATTTCTAATTTTAGGGGGTAGTGGGCCCTAACATTGGTACACTGCACATTATCTTTGTGTGATCAATGTATACATATTTTTTTATCCTAGTTTAAATGCGAGCATTTAAAAGTTGTGATCTGCATGCAGAATTTTAAAAGGGCAAGAACTCTGAGGGGAGCAGGCCCTGATTTTGGTACACTGCACATCGTCTCAGGATAACCAATGTATACATCAAATTTCATTATCCTAGTTTTAATGCAAGCAAAGTTATGCTCCTGACACAAAATTTTAACAAAGAGCTATAACTCTGTAGCATTTGGGTTATTGGCCCTACCTTACGAACACTGCACATTTTTTATACCGGTACCAATGTATACGTCAAGTTTCATTATCCTCGCTGAACTGTGGGCAAGTTATGCTCTGGACATAAAAGGATGAGCAGTCGGATGGATGGATAAAGTGACAAATATATTGCTGTTCTTGGTCTTCCCCTATAGAAAATAAACAATTCCTGAGATTACCTGCTCAACCAGTGGAGTGCCACATTCGGAAACCTGACACAATTAAATCCATGCCAATAAACAGTTTCATAATTTTTATAACATAAATTTAAGGATAGTTGAAGTTAAACTTGTTTTTCCAATCAGAAAATATTTCACTTTTCTGGAGTTTAAAAGTATAAATTTCGGTTTGTTGTTTGTCATATATGGTAAACTAATGGAGTTTTAATCTTGTTTAAATAGTCACTATTATAAATGTTTTGTTGTCTACTTAACATGTTTTTTATTTTATTTATTTGATACAGGACCACTGCTGCATACTATACAGTGTTATTGGCTGGAACAGTACAGTAGGGACATGGACCCGAGTCGAAGGAACACCAAATGACCCAAATCCTAACAAACCCTTTGCCAAGATTGAAACGACATCCACATTTACATCAGAGGGAAAACTCAACCCCTCTATAACTGTGATAGGTAGGGAAATTTATTTGTACATCTGTTATAGGAATGATTCAGTATTGTGTAGTGGAACTGAACTTGTTCTGGTGACCAGGACGCAGTTGCTCAAAGCTTGGTCAATCAGTCATTAGTGAAACTTTTGAAATATGAATAAAACAAAAACAATGAGAACATGTTTGATAAGTTCACAGATGTAGATTTGTTGAGACGAGAAACATTGCATGTCAGCTTTGCTTTGAACGTTCTTATTTATTTATTTTGCGAGCAATAAGTTAACTCTAACCAAACTTTGAGCCTATGTGGCCAAGTAACTCATGATCAAAAGCTTAGAATTTCCAGGCTCAAGAACTGATCTGGCTGTAGTTTTCCTTCTTTTCTGTTTACTCAGGAATAAGTCCACTCTATCAGTAAGCCAATTTACTACATTTTCAGTAGAACTGTATTACTGTCTTTGTCCTGTAATAGAGAAAACCGTTAACATTGAGTCAGCTGTAGCCTTTAGCTTCCAGATATACAAAGTTTTATTTTCCAAAAGATAAAATACGTAGTTTAGGTAATTTCAGAATTCACAAATGTTGAGTTTTCAGTTTTGCAAAAGTGATCTACTAATGAAAAATTGAATCTAATGAAAAAGGAGAGGTAGCAAAAACAGTCAATGTTATATCAATAATTGATAGTAAATATATAAAATAGAATATTGATAAAAAATGAAAATAAAAAGGATGAATGGTACGTTTAACCTTGGAATGCTGATCCTAGTGCTACTGGCTGTTCCTTTGTTTTCTAATGTCCTGTATGTGTTCTGAGAAACTGCATCTCCAACATCATTGCTGTTTACATCTGGGACAAGCGATAATCATGTTTGTTAATTGTACAATTACCTCGACTTCATATCTGGGTAGAGCAGTCAGTAACTGGGTTGCTAAAAATGTGTTGGGCACGATTTGCTTGGAAACTTGGCTCTTACTAGTTAGTTAGCTTATTAATATTTTCTATTATGAGTGACTTCAGAAAGATATCTGACATTAGGGTCATTATTATCAGAAGGTACCAATTTGCTTTAATACATTTTGAAAGGGATACAACACTAATGTAGAAATCGAGAGCAAGTGGAATGCCACTGGTGGATGAATATTTGGGTCTCGGTCAGAGTGAATATGAGCTTTAGAATGACTCACTAGTCTTATGCCTCTTAATTCCATGGAGAACAAAGGAGTGCAGTGGTTTAGAATAATATTCAATAAGCCAGATTCTCTAGACCATTCATTGTCGATAGCCAGATTCTCTAGACCAATCATTGTCGACTGCCAGATTCTCTAGACCACTCATTGTCGACAGCCAGATTCTCTAGACCACTCATTGTCGACAGCCAGATTCTCTAGACCATACATTGTCAACAGCCAGATTCTCAAGACCATTCATTGTTGACAGTCATCCATAATAGTTATCAAGAGTAGAAAACCATGGAAATCTGGAATCATGTATTTTCTCTCTTCTTTTTTTAAATTATTTAAACTTTTGTATCATACAAATACTTTTCTATAAATATCTATTATTAACACTATGTTTACAGGATCCAATGTAACCGTGCCATCAGAGGTGGTGATACTGAACTCCATTGTTCTACCAGACAAAGCTCTCAGTGGCAGCTACAAAAATCAGATCATCTTGTGATTTCTCAAAGAGCCTTCCCTGATGTACACAAAGTATTTCATAAATGGACCCGTTTCTAACTGGACTTCCAGCCAAAGTGGAATTGTATCCAGCATGGAGAATTTTGCATAATCATATTTATTAAAACTTATGAAGATTGTTAATTTGAGATGATGATCTTATAAATAAAAGGTGTCTTGTGATCTGTTTTGGTTTATTTTTTATAAAATACAGTTTGTACAGAATATGAATTGTAATCTGCTTTGATGACTGGAATTATACCCCATCAATATTCTGAAGATTATTTTAAGGCAGGGTCTCCTTTGATACCTGGTGGCTACTTCAACTACTGTTAAATCATGTAATTTCATTGGGCTCACACTTCACGGTTTTTTCAAAAATGTGTATTTTTTTTGGTACTCGATTTTGAGGGTGAATCTTGCTGACAAAATCAGAGACATATATAACACGTGTGATATACGTCTCTGACAAAATCCACAAGTGCTGTAACCCATGTCAATTTTTATGTTTATTTTGTGGACAAGTGTTGATTTAGATTAATCACACGTTAAAAGAAATTTTTAGTTCTATTTCACCCGAGGACAACCATCACAGCACAGACTGGTGATAACTTTTCAAAAAAAAAACCCTTACCTCCCTTCCTTAGAGATTGCTGCTTGTCTAGAAATAGCTATAACCAGAATTGTTTTTCAAGGCTTTACAAACGATTGATGGGCACACTAAGGTCAAAACATGATCTGAACAACAATACTTCTGATGAAAGTGAGTTACAGACAACCGACAAAAGCTTGTTTTGAAATATTTTCCAGTTTATTGATAATACAATACATATGATCTGATACTATCTCTGCATGGCGAAGTATATTTCGGTCATTTGCTATAAAAACATTGGTATATAATGCACATCAAGATCGTTTCCCATTCTCGCTCTAGGCATCATCTGGTACACCACTCTGACTATTGGTCCAGAATAGTCCTTGTCCAAGCATATTTCAATACCATTAACAAATATAAGCTGAATCAGAAGGCTTCAGAAGACTTTCAATTCCAAGAAGTCATTAAAGTTATGCATTTTTTATCATTTTTAATTTCTCAACATTTCTCTCTCTCTTTTTTTTTTTTTTTTTTTTTTCACAATTTAGCCCAATTAAACGAGAACATCATATAATATCTAATTAAACTTGGGTACCAAATTCTTAGTGTCTATATTTCCTTCAAATTTAGTCAATCGGTTGTTCCTTTAGACAACATTTTTTTCAATTTTTTTTTAACTTGCTTTCATGGACAAAAATACATATTTTCGATATTTCAGCAATAAAAGTCAGGAAACATATTCAAGGGTTAACAAAACACAAATCTTTAAAATCAGTGTATGTGGCACAATTTGGCACAAAATATCCATAAATATCTACCTAAAATTTTCTGTACAAAATAAAACACATGAATACTAAAAAAAGGACATCCAGAAGTAAATTCGTATATTAATTCCTGAAATCAACAGATCTTATGGAGATGTTTTTTAATATCTTAATTTTTTAAATTCAAATACCCTAACTTGTTATTTGGACTGTTATGCCAAAAGAAGTAATATGTGAAAAAACTGGTTTTAATATCTAGCAAATAAATTTTCCATAGTACCCTTTCTGAAATGGCATAATACATGTGATCTGTTTTCTTTGTGACAGTTTTACTCTCTCCTGGTATTTAGCTGATTTGTTTTTAAGATTGATCTAAAATCCCAGAACCAAATGTTATTCATCAAAATAACAATGGTTCTTGGGATTGAAGAAATAAAACATGTATAAATATTACACTTTAGAATGATTTCTTTCACCACTATTTCTTGTTAGGCTTTTTAAATATCTTGTGAAAAAAGTCCGCTATAGGCCACCAAAAATATACCTTTTTGAAATTGTTTCTCATTATTTTCTTCCATCAAAATATTAACTTCCAAAAAATTCAATTTTCATCTTTGCTACAGAAGTTTTCACCTTAAAATGATAACCTCTGCACCAAAACTATGTTTCTATGTCTCCAGATTTATGAAATTTTGTGCCTGCACAACTCACTGAAACTCTTGAGTCATTGTACAAGGTATCCAATTTTTCTGATCATTAAACCTTTGGCATGCGTGTATGTAAAACATGTATATGACAAAATATCTTCGGCTAATCCAGACAGGTGTACCCCAGAAGAATAATTATTAGTAGTAAGTACTAACCTACGGCATAATCTTTGGTATCTTCACTAACACAATTAAGGAATATTATAATACAGATATCTACTAATATTTCTTATCTTCAAAATTTGATTCAGCAAAGAAATCCACCCACAAACATGTCTGAAAAAGGGTGTTCTAAATGAGTCTTTTTGAGTTCCTAAAATATCTTTTTGGGAGCAAAATTCCAGCAACATTACCACTGACCTCAAACTGTGATATCAATCACTGAAGTGTTTCCAGTTCTTGTACAGCAGATCATAATTAGTCATTCAGATACGTATTATCTAGTTCTAGCTCTGTATCATTCTGCTCATTGCAAAAATCACATTTGGCCACTTTTCTATTAAATTCACAAAGACTTAATTTCACATCAAGTTTAAAACCTGATTAGGGTTTTGATAATCATCAGTCAAGGTTAACAGGCCCAAAAAGGTCACATTTGATTTTTTTCTTTGCATGACATGCATTTTATGAACTTCTCCATTACCTACCTGATGAAAATTTTGTGAAAAATTATTGTAGTTTAATCATATTGTGTCACCTAATCATGGAAAGCTACTGTGAGAAAAATACCAGCAGACAGATGGAAGCCAAACCTTGATAAGAACACACAGATTTGTTCAATACTGTTAGATATAATTAATAAGAGAAATTAATACTGAAACTGGGATAAATTTAAAAAAAAAAAAGGTTGAGACAACCAAATTAAAAATTAATTACAAGTACACATAATATCGTTTATGTGATATGTGATTTACATGGTATAATGTTTTCTAAAAAATGAAGGTGTCACATTATTAGGATAACCAGCAGGAACAATACGCCTTATCTATTCTGTTAAAGTTCTTTATTCTACAACTTTAGTGAATAAACACAATTGGGATTGTTAGACTCTTAAAAAAACCTCCGGAAATGGAGAAACAAAGCTGTCAATCTAATACAGAGCTGATCAACTGCCAGAGTTTTGATTTGTCTGTGATTATTTTGACTTCTATGAATTCGCTCTCTAGGTGGTGCTACTTGATACAATAACACCAAGATGAACTTGGACCTTACACATAGATATACATTTGTACTAACTTTATTATGAATACTCATTATGCAGCTTATATGTTATATATATAAAAAAAAATCCCTACAAAAAATAAATTATGATAAAAACTTTTCATGGAAACATAAACATATTTTCAAAAGAATGATCTGAATCAAAATCAGAAAAAAATCTCTATTTGAAAACAAGTGTGACATTTTCACATCTTTAGCGCACATTCTTCTTTCCCTACAATGTGAACATTCCAGCCTAAGTTTTGGGCTACATGAGTTATATACAATATGCTATACCGGGCCTGTGAGATGTGAGAGGGTACAGTAGTATACAGTGTTCAGAGACCTCGTGCTGTTGTATATAAGTAATGGTTTTGTGAGAGGTACTGATCATAAAAGGCACTTTGTCTAATATACAAAACGACACAGGTCTACAGCAAGGCGCCAACATCTCAACAACATTTACATATCACTGCTTACACAATTATGTAAATTTATCCGACAATAAGCCCAGGAAGTCAATTTATCCCACAATAAGCCCAGGAAGTCAAAGTAAACTTTTTGCCTCAAAATTGGAAGGTGTCCTTAAACCAAGGCAATAATTAATGTGTCTGTTAGCTTGTGAGTTTATTCTGAAACTGCAATGAATATGGATGGGCTTATTACCAGACATGGACTTATTGCCAGATAAATACTATTAAATGGGTCATACTTCTGTACTCGAACAGTTCCAAGTCTTACAAATTATGAACATGAATGAGCATCGAGTAAAAAAAATGACAGCAGGAGAGGAATTCAGTGTTTTGAACACAACAGAATATTTCACAAGTCATTAACGACAGATATTTACATAAAAATATGTTTACAACAATGTCACAACATGTTTATACATTACCAGTTTACAACACAACAACTATTTGATTTTTTAACACTTTTATCTTTGACATGGTCAGAAAAGGCTCCAGTCACAAATTTACAGAGTTTCCTGTACAAAATATTGTCGATTTTAGAATTCAGTAACTCAGGAATATTGAAATCATCTAGGTCTAATTACAGATTAAACAAAATAAGTTTGGACAGTGCAATAAAATATCTTATTCACTACGGAAGCCTCTAAGATTTTTATCAAACCAACATATGAATTAAGAAACCTTAAGGTGTCATCAAATTGGAAGAAATCTTTATATACAGTATTTGTAGTTTAGTTCTATGGCATTTGGGAGAAAAAACTAAAAAAGTAAACAGCAAGCATTTCAATTTGACTGCACTAATATCTGTAGTTCGTATAAATAGAAAAGTAAACTGCAAAAGTAAACAGCAAGCATTTCAATTTGACTTCACTAATATCTGTAGTTCGCATAAAGAGAAAAACCTGGTGCTTAACATCAAGTTTCATAAAGGTTCTGAAAGACTAATGCAAGGTTTGAAAGCTTAAAGTTTCCAAATTATTGTGTCAGTCTGGGCTAGGAAAAAGAAGTGTTTAAGAGTGTCCTGGAGTGGCTATATTACACTACGATTGTAGAAGTAGCTTTATAAACAATTCTAAAGACACAAACAGTATACATATTACATTGGTTTTGACAACCAACACACAATGACTAACAGTAAAATCAGCAAAATGATTTGATCATGGGACAATGTTCAACAAATACACAAAGCTGTTATAAGCAATGATACACGATTTCTGTACAATTTTCTATCTGGTGTGAATGATTTTACAAATTGAAAACTGCATGTATAACTGGCCCCAGTACAATACTAAAGAACTGACATTATTAATGATGGACTGACATCCTTATCGCACATACACAATAGTCAAACTGAAAGACTTTGTTTAAATATCTATTCCCACTTATACAACGTTAATTTGTAAAGACGCATCACATCAATCAAGCACAGCTAAAATCTTATGTCAAAAAGGACTACATGTCACACAAGTAGTCTCGAAGATGATAAAAAATTAGTCCACTAGGTCTTCACACAGTTTAGAGATTACAGAAAAAGCATATGTAACAATTCATTTTCACAAACAGTAATGTATATAGTGTCTCTCAATTACAACCATTCACATAAGGTTTCTCCTAGTGTCTTCCCTTCAATCCTAATGGATTTATTGTACCTTGTAATGATTTAGATAGTTACTGGAAGGTAAAATTTCAACCTCCTCACTGGTTGGTCCAAAATGTCTATAAAATTTATATGATATTCATAAAGGGCTGCAATTCAAACTTCAGAATAATCGTAAAAACATAAAAGAAAAAAAAAACCAAGAGTATCAGTGAAACTGGTGAATGATCCCTGACAACTTTATTTATAATTCTGTAATTAAGTGACTGATGGTCTTGAATTTGGTAAACTGTATATTGTCTTCATATGATCAATATATACACCAAGTTTCGTTATCCTAGTTCAAATACAGGCCAAGCTATGCCCAGGACTCAAATTTTTTTAAAAAGGCATTTAATTTATAATTTTAGGGGGTAGTGGGCCCTAACATTGGTACACTGCACATTATCTTTGTATGATCAATGTATACACAATTGTTTTGATCCTAGTTTAAATGCAAGCATTTAAAAGTTGTGATCTGCATGCAGAATTTTAAAAGGGCAAGAACTCTGAGGGGGAGCAGGCCCTGATTTTGGTACACTGCACATCGTCTCAGGATAACCAATGTATACATCAAATTTCATTATCCTAGTTTTAATGCAAGCAAAGTTATGCTCCTGACACAAAAATTTAACAAAGGGCAATAACTCTGTAACGGTGGGGTGACCGGCCCTACCTTTGGTGCACTGCACTTTACTGTGTATGATCAATGTACAAATGCAAGCAAAGTTGTGCTCTGTACATGAAATTTAAACACAAAGCAGTAACTCTGTAACTGTGGGGTTGCAGGTCCTGAATTTCGCACAATGCATATTACTTTTGTATTACCAATGTATACGTCAAGTTTCATTATCCTCGTTGAACTGTGGGCAAGTTATGCTCTGGACATAAAAGGACGAGCAGTCGGATGGATGGATAAAGCGACAAATATATACTCCAAAGAAAAATTTTTGAGAGCATAAAAAGATATCCAGTTTCTAGTGGTCCATTAATAAGGTGACATGTTTGGAGTAGCAAATATGACAGGAGCTACAGAGAACTGGAAATTTACTCCGCTAAACATAGCATGTGATGTTTGTTACACATGAAAAGAAATCACACTGAAAATAACACCTATTCTTTCATACACAAGGCATGAATCACCACCGTACACTTTGATAAAAAATATTGGGAACATGTGGCATGCTTATTTTATGTCAACATTTACAATAATGAATATCACATTAAGTTTTAAATTTGTGACAGAAATACAATTCAACTCCATCACAATTCATTAGAAATCCAAGTGTAATGAGCCAACTTATCCACAATTACTATGAAATTCATGTAACCCTCGTCCAACTCGGCCATTTTTCTTAGAAATGTGTGTTCTAAATCAAACAAGGCCACATTTCCTTTTGACATTGTTGGTTGCAACATTGGAAGGTGTTGTGTACAGTAGTTATGGTGATGGAATATAAATCACATTCATGAACTTGGACCTGGTTGGGATGGGGGTTGAAGTAGGCATCACATTTATGGATGCAAGCCAGGGCAGGGCAGGGTAATTATCACATGTATGGACATGAGCTAGGGCAGGGCAGGGTAGGCATCACATGTATGGACATGAGCCAGGTCAGGGCAGGGTAGGCATCACATGTATGGACATGAGCCAGGTCAGGGCAGGGTAGGCATCACATGTATGGACATGAGCCAGGTCAGGGCAGGGTAGGCATCACATGTATGGACATGAGCCAGGTCAGGGCAGGGTAGGCATCACATGTATGGACATGAGCCATGTCAGGGCAGGGTAGGCATCACATGTATGGACATGAGCCATGTCAGGGCAGGGTAGGCATCACATGTATGGACATGAGCCAGGTCAGGGCAGGGTAGGCATCACATTTATGGATGCGGACCCAGTCAGGGTATCTGCACATTTTATGACCGTGGGTCGCATCAAGGGTGAGCATCAAATCTACAGATGCGGCCAGATCTGGTCAGGGATGGGCTTCACATTTATGGATGCAGACTTGGCCCTCGGTCCTTGGTCTGTGGTGGGCTCATGGTTAAAGACTTGAGGTGGGCATTGTGGTTACATGAACACAAGTTGGGCGGTTGAAGTTTGGAACCATGGTATTAACAGACCCAGGACCTGTTGGGTTAAACGGAAAACTTAATACTGATTCTTTCAAAACTAAGAATGACCAATGCTAGTGGAAAATTGAAACTGCTTGCTAACTACAAAAAGTTTAGAAAAACGCAGTATCTGGGCCTGATTTTTGATAAAGTCTAAGGGTTTCACAGATTCCAAACCTCCTCATTAAAACATCCTCCAGAAACAAGAAAAGGTGGTCAGAATGGAGATCAGCATTGGCAAAACACGCTCTACAACAATATCACTCACAGGTATACAATGTTAGCTCACTCACTTCATCATATACATTTACTAGCCATGTAATGTCACATTACACACAACTATCCACAAGGTTAACACAAGGCCATACAGTATCACATGATATATAAGCAATTGTCTATATCTTCATAACAGTTCATTTTAGTTAAAATAGCTTAAAATACATCACATTGGCAAATGGTTAGATCATGTTCGATTCATTTAGACTGAAACTGGAGATAACTTCTCATTTGTGTCACAAACAGAAATCCCATTCAAACTGTCCCACAAGATCTTACGTCAGCCATCAGGGGTTATGTGATCCTTTCTTCCATCAATCTAATGTTCATTCAAGCTGTTTTTTTAAGTCTGATGAAATTTCCATTCAGTTCAGTTCAATCTTTTCATCATTATTATTTTGTTTTTGAAATACCAAATTTCCATTTAAGTTCCAATTTTGTCTAAATTATAAATATCCAATGCAATTAATTCCATTTTCAAACTTGATGAGAAAAGTGTTATTAGCCTGGATCATCAAACTTTCATTCATTTTCTTAACTATGAAATTTCCATTCATTTCCAAAATAATCATTGTTCAACTTTTATTTTTAGCCTCAATAAGGAGGAATATCTTCAATCTCGTCCTAAGGTAAGTTCATCATACAACTTCGATCTGTCTGTATTTCTTACGTAAATTCGACACAGGATCTTTGAACAACAATGGGTCCATTCTAGCCTTGGATCTAACCAAGGGCATGTACCCAAATAACTTAACAAAGTTATCAACACAAAATTTACGTTGTGTGAAGTGGTCTGTCAGGAGCCAAGTTGATAATTTAGAACTACTGGCCAGCATTGACTCTTTGTAGACCTTCCGATGTGTCACTTTGATTGGTGGAAGTTTGGTCACATGACTGACTAGGAAGTTGAGGAGAATATCCTCACAATTTTGCGATTGGTCCACAATATCCGTAAAAGCACTACTTAGAAAATTTGAATACAAAAAATTATAATACCTGAAACAAAGAAATAAAATACATAAATTCCATGATAAATTGTAGCTCTAATATCAAGAAAAGGAATTAACATAATCTCTGAGCTTGTTTCCCAACCCCAAAGAGGAACATGTTCATATCATTGGTTTATTTAAGGAACATATTGTTCAAACTTAATCAAATATTTTAGGTCAAGACAGAATCAGTAAATATTCATTCCCCTGAAACATTGCCATACTCGAAAGAATCACTGAATATTCATTACCTATGATAAATAGTCATACTAGAAAGAATCACTGAATATTCATTACCTATGATAGTCATACTAGAAAGAATCAGTGAATATTCATTACCTATGATAAATAGTCATACTAGAAAGAATCACTGAATATTCATTACCTATGATAAATAGTCATACTAGAAAGAATCAGTGAATATTCATTACCTATGATAAATAGTCATACTAGAAAGAATAACTGAATATTCATTACCTATGATAGCCATACTCGAAAGAATCACTGAATATTCATTACCTATGATAAATAGTCGTACTAGAAAGAATCACTGAATATTCATTACCTATGATAAATAGTCATACTAGAAAGAATCACTGAATATTCATTAAGTATGATAAATAGCAGCACATTGATCACTAATATTTATCACCTATGAAGCAGTGAAAGAAACAATGAATATTCATTACCTATGATAAATAGCAGCACCAGTAAGAATCATTGAATATTCATTAGTCCATTTAGATGAGTAACTCCAGCGATTCTGTGCACTGTCCCAGTAATGGCCACGGGCTGGGTAGCCAACAATTCTATCTGGGAACTCCTTCCACACACTAAATGCGAAGTCAATCTGAAATTTACCAAATAATAGAAATCAGCAATTTAACAGAATCATTGAATAATACATATTCCTCATTACATTAATATGTGCCTGTTTACTTGTTTTCATAAATCTTTATTAAAAAGACAAGTAATGCATAATTATGAGTCTTGCCCATCCCACTTTGTTAGTTTGGTAATTTATAAGCAAAAATAAAATGTTTATTAATAATATATATTCAACATAGATTATGATGCTGCGATATGTATTTTTAACATGAAATAAACATTTTGTACAGATATGACATTTTTACCCCAAAATATCACTCTTCCTAAGGCGGGAGATAAAAGTTGTCTCATATTTTACAGTATTTATTTCAATATTACCATAAACTACACCTAAAATGAACTGGAAAAGACCTGTAGTTACTTCTAGGTAATACACCGAAAATGAAATTGATATAATCTGTCCGCTAGTTTCAAGAGTTGTTGGATTGTAAAGCCAGCTTCTCAGCATCCCTTGTATCAGCAGTTGCTGGATTGTGAAATCAGCTTCTCAGCATCCCTAGTTTCAGGAGTTGCAGGATTGTGTTGAAATCAGCTTCTCAGCATCCCTAGTTCTAGGAGTTGCTAGATTGTGAAATCAGCTTCTCAGCATCCCTTGTATCAGGAGTTGCTGGATTGTAAAGCCAGCTTCTCAGCATCCCTAGTTTCAGGAGTTGCTAGATTGAGAAATCAGCTTCTCAGCATCCCTAATTTCAGGAGTTGCAGGATTGTGTTGAAATCAGCTTCTCAGCATCCCTAGTTCTAGGAGTTGCTGGATTGTGAAATCAGCTTCTCAGCATCCCTTGTATCAGCAGTTGCTGGATTGTGAAATCAGCTTCTCAGCATCCCTAGTTTCAAGAGTTGCTGGATTGTGAAATCAGCTTCTCAGCATCCCTAGTTCTAGGAGTTGCTGGATTGTGAAATCAGCTTCTCAGCATCCCTAGTTCTAGGAGTTGCTGGATTGAGAAATCAGCTTCTCAGCATCCCTAGTTCTAGGAGTTGCTGGATTGTGAAATCAGCTTCTCAGCATCCCTTGTATCAGTAGTTGCTGGATTGAGAAATCAGCTTCTCAGCATCCCTAGTATCAGTAGTTGCTGGATTGTGAAATAAGCTTCTCAGCATCCCTTGTATCAGCAGTTGCTGGATTGTGAAATCAGCTTCTCAGCATCCCTTGTATCAGGAGTTGCTGGATTGAGAAATCAGCTTCTCAGCATCCCTTGTATCAGCAGTTGCTGGATTGTGAAATCAGCTTCTCAGCATCCCTTGTATCAGGAGTTGCTGGATTGTGAAATCAGCTTCTCAGCATCCCTAGTATCAGTAGTTGCTGGATTGTGAAATCAGCTTCTCAGCATCCCTTGTATCAGTAGTTGCTGGATTGTGAAATCAGTTTCTCAGCATCCCTAGTTTCAAGAGTTGCAGGATTGTGAAGCCAGCTTCTCAGCATCCCTAGTTCTAGGAGTTGCTGGATTGTGAAATCAGCTTCTCAGCATCCCTTGTATCAGGAGTTGCTGGATTGTGAAATCAGTTTCTCAGCATCCCTAGTTTCAAGAGTTGCAGGATTGTGAAGCCAGCTTCTCAGCATCCCTAGTTCTAGGAGTTGCTGGATTGTGAAATCAGCTTCTCAGCATCCCTAGTTTAAAGAATTACTGGATTGTAAAGCCAGATTCTCAGCATCCCTTGTATCAGCAGTTGCTGGATTGTGAAATCAGCTTCTCAGCATCCCTTGTATCAGGAGTTGCTGGATTGTAAAGCCAGCTTCTCAGCATCCCTTGTATCAGGAGTTGCTGGATTGTGAAATCGGCTTCTCAGCATCCCTAGTTTCAAGAGTTGCTGGATTGTGAAATCAGCTTCTCACCATCCCTAATTTCAAGAGTTACTGGATTGTGAAATCGGCTTCTCAGCATCCCTAGTTTCAGGAGTTGCTGGATTGTGAAATCAGCTTCTCAGCATCCCTAGTATCAGGAGTTGCTGGATTGTGAAATCAGCTTCTCAGCATCCCTAGTTCTAGGAGTTGCAGGATTGTGAAATCAGCTTCTCAGCATCCCTAGTTTAAAGAATTACTGGATTGTAAAGCCAGCTTCTCAGCATCCCTTGTATCAGGAGTTGCAGGATTGTGAAATCAGCTTCTCAGCATCCCTAGTTTAAAGAATTACTGGATTGTAAAGCCAGCTTCTCAGCATCCCTTGTATCAGGAGTTGCAGGATTGTGAAATCAGCTTCTCAGCATCCCTAGTTTAAAGAATTACTGGATTGTAAAGCCAGCTTCTCAGCATCCCTAATTTCAAGAGTTGCAGGATTGTGAAATCAGCTTCTCAGCATCCCTAGTTCTAGGAGTTGCTAGATTGAGAAATCAGCTTCTCAGCATCCCTAGTATCAGCAGTTGCTGGATTGAGAAATCAGCTTCTCAGCATCCCTAGTATCAGGAGTTGCTGGATTGTAAAGCCAGCTTCTCAGCATCCCTAGTATCAGCAGTTGCTGGATTGAGAAATCAGCTTCTCAGCATCCCTTGTATCAGCAGTTGCTGGATTGAGAAATCAGCTTCTCAGCATCCCTAGTATCAGGAGTTGCTAGATTGAGAAATCAGCTTCTCAGCATCCCTAGTTTCAGGAGTTGCTAGATTGAGAAATCAGCTTCTCAGCATCCCTAGTTCTAGGAGTTGCTGGATTGTGAAATCAGCTTCTCAGCATCCCTAGTTCTAGGAGTTGCTGGATTGTGAAATCAGCTTCTCAGCATCCCTAGTTTCAGGAGTTGCTAGATTGAGAAATCAGCTTCTCAGCATCCCTAGTTCTAGGAGTTGCTGGATTGTGAAATCAGCTTCTCAGCATCCCTAGTTTAAAGAATTACTGGATTGTAAAGCCAGCTTCTCAGCATCCCTTTACTCAATAATAGGTTTTTACTAAGATAAACGATAAGGATTCCAAAATATCGCTTTGTTGAAAACATGTTTTTCTACACAGGAAAGACAGAGAAATTTGTGAGATCCAGTTGACCAGTGTCTCAGACTTACTTCATCTGTTGTTAAAAGGCTATCCTCATCAAAGCTAAAAACAGCATCAGTTGTAATTTCAGGATATGGATGAAAACGGTTACTGATTGACTGGAATTAAAACATCACAGTTAAGTTTATACTGAAAACCATTTCAAAAGATCAAAGCATTTATATCACAGAAATTTTTTTAAAATATTTTTTCAGTCAAATGTATTTGAAAATAACACAATGAAAACGAAAATTTAAATGTCTCTAGTAAATATAACTGAAGGTCATTTTGACAATTACAATCAGTATAAATTTGGTCATAAGATTGTTTCGTAATCTATAAATTTGAATTAAAATTCCTTTGTTAAAACAAAAAAACCTTTTTGTTTTGTTTTATATAAGGAAAAAAAGAATTAGCAAATGGCCAAGGAGACTGATTTTTGAGTCTTTAATACAAAGACAATTAATTCAAAGTTAACAATGCCAAAAGGTTTCCCACTTTCACCTCCTATATTAGCACACTCTAAACCATTATCAGATCACGATCAATTCATGTGTATGAAAACATGCTTGTATAAAAGAGTTGAGAAGATTTAGCTTACTGTTATGTTCCTGGTTTTAACTATGACAGAGATATGTCCGAGGTCTCCTGGCCACCTGTTTGTTTGTGGAGGGGGAGTGTCACAATGCCACAGTACAATCATCTGTAAAGGAACAATCATTATTATCACAAAGGAGAAAAACTAGAATCTTTATCCTCATTTAAGACAAAACTAAAAAAAAAAAATTCTTTATTACTCCTAATGTCTACAATCCAGGAGAAAGTATAACTTCAAACAATGTTTTAAAGCATCTTTTGTCAAAAGAAGGTTTAGAAAGTATTTATGTGAGGATTAAGGGTTTTAAATATATCTAAAATTATATATCTAGTATAGGTCCATACGGTACAAAGCGGTCAGAAATAAACCTAACAAACAGATTAAATAACACAGGCATTACAATTGTTTTCCCGAACAATCTGAGAGGTAAACAGGACATCTTCATGCATACTGCCAATCCCTATTTACGAGAAGGGAGATTCCCAGTTTTAAATCTTCATTTTGCTATACTTACATTCTTAGATATGATGACTTTCATTTGAATTTTACACAACCAGACATATACCACTAATACCAGTGTTATGTACTAGATGGTATATATACATACCTTATTAATGCTTTTATTTCTGAGCACATAAAATCTGCCGTTTGAAAATTTTAAGTTTGTTCATAATGGACAATGAGTATACATTGTGATAGCTTTTATACACGAGACATATTTGGGAGTGTATACATAAAGTCCTTTTCATTTCTAATGATAAGCTTATCATAATATCCCTTAAAGTCCTTTTCATTTCTAATGATAAGCTTATCATAATATCCCTTAACTCTCCTAATGAATGAAGTTACAAAACTTAACTTTTTATGTGTGAGCATACAGCAAACCTAGGATAGAATACATAATAGTTTAACAATTTTCAAATGGGAAATTTTCAATCTCATATCTTAATTAATATCAAAGTGGTTGTGCATATCCAAAATTATGAGGTTAACACAGTGTTAGAATGTTGACATTGAGGTTTTCTAATGGTTCTACAAATAGCCAGGTTTATGTTTGAAAATATGCATGTTTCCATTCACACTAGCTAAAATCATGAATAATCATTGCTCACCATGAACAGATCTATCTGTGATACCAGCATCAAAAATAGAGTTATCTCCCCTCGAGTTAATATCGCCATAAAGCATTACACTTGATATAATGTGGCTAGATCATAAATTCACTATTGGGGTTACAAAATTGTCCCTGTTTCTATAACCTCTGAAAGAATTTCTCTAGATTTCCATTTGTCAAAGAATTTCTTGTGTTAACTAATGAGGAATTTATTCCAATGATACAGATAAATGCATTGAAGATTTTTGTTGCGTTTTTTTACTTTTTCTGTTTCACTTTCGTTTGTATGTTATAGAAATCAGAAATTCCATTTAAATTTCTGTAAAAGTAAATGATCTTTGGCAGTCCCCGTTTTCCTTGTTGTCATCGAAGGTAGTTCACCACTACATTATAAATTAATTTACAGAAGATACATGTACATTAATCACATAAAAAGCCAGTTGTGTCATATCATATGACCATGTCTATTACATGACACATGTAATAACACTATTGTGATGTCATTAATAAGTAACGTCTTGTAGACTTAAAAAGATTGATAATCATACTAAGTCTGTTTCACAGGGAAACTAATTTTATAGTTATTGCCTATATTTCTGAAGTACAGTTTATATGATGAATAGAATCTCACAATTGTGCAAACGTAACTGAAGTATAGAATTTATTTCACTTGGTATGACTTGCCTGAATATTTGTGACATCAAATTTTTCGAACTTATTCAATAAATTCAAAATATTTTCTATTGATCACAACTTGATCCGTGAAGATATTACTTATAATTTCAACGAATATATCATTATTTTTGTAAGTTTAATCAGTACAGCATTATTTATGATTTCAAATTTGTAATATAATTATCAATTTGTAATGGCAAGTTGTGTATCACTCTTTTGGGTTTAAGGTACATCATCCTTCAAGGTAAAATTCACATATTGGGTAATAGAAATATATATTAGGACATGAATTATTGAAATTCACTTCATGTATGAAGTGTTACAATAAAAAAACAAGAGACCCCAGTGGGATCTTTGAGTCCATCATAGTTTAATCTTCTTTAATTTAAATTGTTTTTTAATAAGTGGGGGTCATTCCTCTTATTAAATTTGAAAATTCCTCTAAGAAATTTCTAATTGCCAAATCCAAAATGGTCATCTATCGGTCATTTGATTTTTCAGATCTATCCCAAAATCAAAATTTACTACTTTGTACCAAGTGGAACCTATAAATGAACTTTAAATCAGATCCATCCTGTGCTTTTCAAACTTTCATTGTCATAATCCAAGATTGCCATCTGTCCGCCATTTTTCTGATCAGTCCCTAAGTGAAAAGGGCACATCTAGAGGCCAAAAGAAATATTCAAGTGACTTTTGAGATAAATCCATTCGGTATTTTAAGTAATAACGTTAACAAATTTCAACATCCTGCATGGCCACCTGGTAGCCATTTTGTTCTTATTATCAGTCCCAAAATCTTACCAGAAGAACCAGGGACCAAGGGGATGACAACTGACATGAAATTTCTGAAACATCCTTCCAATATTTTCCAATAAATAGCCACAACAAACATTTATGGTCAAACTCTAAGATAGCCACATGGCTGCCATTGTTTTTCGAATCAGACCAAAAATTGGACAATGCACAAGAAGGGACTAATGAGAACCTACATGTTAAATTGGAAAGTGATTGAACCGATACCTCTAAAGAAATGACCATAACAAGAACGGACAGATGGAGGAAGGGCAATTTGAACAGTCACTCTATGATGATGGTGAATGGCTGTTAAAGAAGAAAAGTTGAAGGTTCAGGGAACACAAATACTCCACCTTTTGAACATTGGATGACTTGGCAATAGTTCTGATGAGTCGAAACAGCGGGCTGGATGACAGATGGACACGAGAAGTTGCATAAATTACAGCTGTGAAGAGGTTGCCAGGTTTGTGGGCAAGGGGACCATAGAAGAATGGGTACTGATGGAGGGTATCAGAATATTCTGGTAGTAATGCGAGAGCCCCTGGGAAGTTGTTCCACAACAATGGAGATCGACTCTGCCGGCTCACACGGTCCTTCAGGATCTGTAACCAAAATAATATTGATGTTAGTGAATTCTGACAGCTACTAGACAGTAAACCTATCATCAGATACAAGGCAGGAGAGACAAGTATGTATGATATGTACTCAAATTTACAGAAATGGAATACAGATGGACTGTATCACTTACATGGATATATCAGTTTTCAGAGCTTTTTCTCACTACTTAGAAAATGAGGTCAATGGGCTTGAATACCGAGGAAAGAGTGACAAAATCTCAAATATAGAAAAACAACCAAACATAAAGATATCTAAATCTATTGATATATTGGTTAATGTCTCTCTGTGTAGCTCATATACTTAACTGAAGCGTATACACAACTACGTCAACCCACAGCTGTCACACCAAACATTAGGCAGCACAATGAAGATTTATTGATGACATGTTTAACTGCCAATTATCTGGGAATTCTAATGCTTGCATTGGGAAAAAAAATAAGATTTTGCAATTATGAATTGGACCTTGAAATAATTTGGCCCCAAATCATTCAGAAAAGGCCTAAATGTCTATGTAACTCACCTACAAGGCAAAAGAAGACAACCCGATAATAAAAGTTTCAATCTCATATGTATTACTGCTACCTTAACCCTAAACAAATAATAGACAACTTCAATAAAATCCTTATCTATGCTGGCAGAGGAAAAAAATGCAAATAATGGTGTAAGTAAATAAACAAAGATTGATGATGTGACCAGGCAGGTCCTTGTGAATGTATAGCCTACAACACTACAGGCAGGCTTTGATAGCTGTACAGCACAGCTCTTTATAAATATCACAGTAACACCACTCCTGGCATAACACCGATAATGACATACACCACACTTGATAACTTTGCACATTTTGATTGATAAAACATCCAAGCAGTACTTAATGGAAGTATTGCTGGTTTCCTTCTTATACTGTACAAATACTTAACAAGGGCCGTCAGAGACTGGTAATGCTCCCCGATTGGGACAAAATTTAAGTATGAAAAACAACAAAGGACCATAAGAGAGTTATGACTCTTGTGCACTGCCCTCCTACTCCTCGAGACCTACTACCAAGAAAGTTTCATGTGAATACCTCTCTAAGTTTTAGAGTAATGCTCCCGACAAAATTTAGCTATGAAAAATAACAAAGGGCAGCAACTCCTAAATTATACGAAAAGAGAGTGATGGTTCTTCAGCACTGCATTTTCCATGCTGAGATCTATCTACGTATGAAATTTCATGTTGATACTTGTTATAGTTTTAGTGTAATGCTTTCCACAAAATTTAAGTATGAAAAATAACAAAGGGCAACAACTCCTAAATTATACAAAAAGAGAGTGATGGTTCTTGTGCTATGCTCCGGACAAAATTATGACAGACGGACAGACAAAGTGGCGACTATATGTTTTCCCTTTGGGGAGCATAAAAATAAATCTATTCACAAAGTTAGTGTAACATAGTCCTCAGTATAATTGTTTGTCACATCGTGAGCTTATGTATCATATAACGTACCAGATAACAGGATTTTAAAAACTGATCAATTCATTGTTATTGCTAATATTATCACAAATCAGGTGCATTTGTGTGTTAAATCACCAATTCAGTAAATTGGGTCATCTCCATTCTAAATTTTGGTGTCAAACTGGAGATTTTTGAAAGTAAAATCTATCATTTTCACATGAATAATGTATTTCATTCTTAAACTAATTATAGACATAAGGTTGTAGTAAGATGTAACAGCTCAAACATAGCTGAATTAGAATAACATGATAAACAATCGCAATGTAACCAAAACAGACTTTCCTGATAGAAGACCTCCAGTTAAGACCCCTGAACAAGTATATAGGTGACATCTTGCCTTAATATCAACCCATTCTAATTTGATAAAGACATGTTTTATGAGTCCCAACTGATTCCAGCAAATGTCTTCAATTTGTAAGAATTTATTCAATATTTCAGTGACTAGTGATAAACTTGTACACTTTTAAGAACATTGATGTTATTCTGGGGTCCCTTCTGAACACTTTTGCCCCAACAGTATACCCAGCTGTGAATACTTTTTTCCTTATGTGTGTTTTGGAGCAGAAGTCACATACACCGTGCACACAAACTTTTGTCAGTTTCATGGACATTACTGGCTAATCATTTCTATTGGTTGAATCAGAAAGCTCAATAATTGCACAGCGTCAACTGACATCCCGATAGGCATCTGTCGGCGATATGGCACTCAAGCCTCTCCATAGTCTGACAGTCAAGACAAGACTTATCACCAGCAGCCCACACAATGGGAGGTTGTGGGAGGACGATTTCTGTTTTAGCATGTTCCTACCAAGCCAATATGTTATAGAACTTTCTGTCAAAGATTTATAAGTCAACCATTTTATAAGTGTGACAGCTAGGGACAGGTTTTTCCTATCTATTCATCTGTGTCTGAATTTATGCTCCTACTTCTACGTCTTCCAGCAGAAGATCTACTTATCTTGACAGGAAAAGAAAAAAAAGAAATGTCTCAGGTGACAAAATTAACCAGAAATATAAACAGAAATTGATTTCTGTCACCTGCATGCTACGTTTTTTAATTAATTCGAACAGTGGCATGATTCAATGATAAGTCCTAGATCAGGAACAGTTGTTTGACACAGATTAGTTCAATGCTTAACTCTATTGTATCTAACTCCAAATTTGTATCAAAACATGTCATTTCACTTGTGTGGCTTTATAGTACAAACTTAGATCAGTGACTTAACATACCACACTCTACTATATTGGTATGTACCTATCTGTGTGCTTTCTGTTTATGGTACAGATTTGGGTCAATGACTAAACGTACCAAACCTTACTATATTTGTCAGAAACTAAAACTGAGAAGAAAGACATATGAACCTGTGCATTTAAATTACTTATTATAGATGAAACTAGATATTACCATAAAAACCTTACAATAATCCCAAGAGACCAACACATTACTTCTTACACAAACTTAGATGTGTGTTTATTACAGGACAATGAAAGATAGTGTAATACATAGTGTCTACTCTAGAGCCATATGTACTGTACTTATCCTACAACATGCCCAGGAGGCCAACATTTTCCTTTACAGCTTAAAGAACAATGAAAAGATAATATGTCGCAATTCTTCTAAACATGAGTGGGCTTAATAACTGGCATAATTTTATTGCTGAATAATATTGTATGTCACTGACTTTTTAAGTTATTAAGGGTGTGATGGGAAGAAACATTGATAAAACACGAATATTTAAGATACTTTACTTTTGAGTTGTCCTTTCACAAAGTTCAAAATGTCTAAGGACTGACCTTGTTAAATGAATGACCACAATTTTACCTCAAAAACAAAATGCTGTATATCTAATAATATCATGCCAGAGCAAAGTACAATGAAAGAATCAGCCAAAATACTAAAGCAATTATAAATTAAAAGTAAAGATTATCTGGAAAGCAAGAAAAATATTCTATCCACATTTCTTCTAAACTGACAATTTTTGTAGTCATCGTCATATTGGTCAATGACAAGAGTGCAACAAATGGAGGGGTACATGGCACTGAGTGACAATTACTGTGATAAATCATAATGATTTTGAAACAAAAGAAGATATTTTCAGGTTTATTTTAAATTGAACATGAATTATTGAAAATATGTAAAAGTTACAGTAATCTATTCCAAATATGTGTAAATGTACTTTAGGCAGGATCAATCACATTTGCTTGAACCTGGCAGAGGACACCCCCCTTGAAAATTGCGATAGTTGTGGCCTTGATGACAGTCGTGGAGATCAGTTTGTCCTTTGCACAAACACCAAATTCAGAATAAAACATGATTCTATGCCACAAATTGAATGCTTTAAACACTTTCAGCTAACTTATTTTGAAAACATTGTACGGAGAGTGGCCTAGTTCTACCACAGTGATGTATTGCGTTAACCATCAGGCATGCTATTTCTTTAACAAAGAAATCAGGGATAATTATTCTTGGGTTTTTTTTTCTTTCTTTTCTGCCTGGAATGACTAGAGGTAGTGTTTGATGCAAACAAAGTGCTCATATTTTTGTATGTCTGTCTTGCTCTAGAGGTTAACATGCTGTAAACGATGCCTTATTGTAACGTAAACTGAAGACTGCTGAGGTGGAAAACATCGGTAATTATCAGGATCTAGACAAGAAGTTATTAATTACACCTTAATATCTTTATAATATACTTCCAGTATGTTGTTTCTCTTAACAATGCCAAGACAAAGTATAAAATTCAATAACTTCAATCACATTACCGTAATGATACCACAATAAGGGACAGGACATAACCTCACCAACTTAAAGTAAAAGATGGGCATGTTTCAAGACAATGAACATACACTTATAGATAGATAAGGTTGTTTTTTTTGTTTTTGTTTTTGGTCTTTGTCTACAGCTTACAGCAGAAATGTAAAAATAAAGCTAAAGAAAATCCTTTTTCTTACCCACACTCATCCGTACATGTTTGTTCATGTTTTAAAGGGAGACAACCTTAAGCATTTCATTTTCCTTAATATGTACTTGAAATACAACCTACCTCTAATGTTGTGGATACTATTTTCTCTACAGAAGAAAAGTAAGTTTCCCACAAGAACTGGGTCTGCTGACGCAACTGTAGAATGTCTGGCTGCTTCGCTGATCTTACAATAGAAGGAACCTGGAACAAAAAACAAAGAAAAAATAGAAAACATCCGCAAGATATAAATGCCCCTGCCACCAAGGCCTTGACCTTGGACCCCTGAAGCACTACAATGTCCAAATATAATTATACTTGACATTTGCATAAATGTTGACAAAGTTCCATGAGAAAATGAAGCTTTGAGTGTTAAAAAGAGATCAATGATCTATATACAGCAACTTATTGGAATTTGCTTTACATGGGTTATTGCATGCATTCAGATCTTCAAGCCTAGAAAGATACTTTATAAAATTTTCTTTTCATGGGGCATTGCATGCATTCAAAACATAAACCTCTGAAAAGTACATTCATTGACAGAATTTCAACAAAATAAAATTTTAAAAAAAGAAGTTTCAAACTGCTCGTTCTAGTAAACTGATAGGAATTTTGAAGATTTTCTGATGTTTCATATCTAAAATTGAGGCAAAAATATTGTGAAGGAGAGCTGACAAGTTTTGTCCTGCAAGGGAGAGCTGACAACATAACATAAACAAGAGGCCCATGGGCCTTAACGGTCATCTGACATAAAATACAAGATTTCAAATTTTGAACTTGAGAAGAAGTCGAAAATGTGTTTACAAGATGGCGGCCATTGGCCATGTTGGATTTCGGACCAACCCAAAATTAACAAACTTTGGTAAGGATCATGTCACGATCATTTCAAGTAAGTTTCAGCTTAATGAGACATGTAGAACTTGAGAAGAAGTTGAAAATATTTACGATGGACAACGTACAGACAAAAGGCGATTGCAATAGGTCATCAGACCCTTCGGTCCGATGACCTAAAAATGTATCTTTGACAGTTTGATGTTTGGGAATAACAGATCTCTTCTGAGGTGTGCTAGAAACGAGGTGCAAATAAAAAAGGTAAGCACCAACTTTATGTCTGTAATTTGTTTAAAGTTGAAGGTAAAGATAAAATTACAAAATACTCATAACGTTGAATATTCTCTCTTAACAACACCAATCTTTCATTATCTGTGTCTGACATCTATATGAAGCATTGACCCACAAGCTGAAGATTTATTTTCTTATTTTTGTACACATGGATGCAGCAAACCTGTATATTGGCCAATTCTCTAGAGACACAAAAATCGCAAACAAATATTCACAGTTAATAAATATCAAATCAATCTCCAAACTCCACAGCAGCAAATACCAAACTTTAATTCAATCATGTGTACCAAAGGATTGAAACATCCAGGCGTACAAAATGAGACCAATGTTTTTCTTTGATATATTATTGATATTTCAACAAAGGCTGTTGTACTTTCATAGATGATGAAAGCCGGAATAGGCTTGGGTTTGAAATTAGATTGTACCATGCAGTCAGGACAGTCAGCAGGGAGATTTTGAATGGCCGTTCAAAATGCAATATAGACTGTTAAATTTTTTTTCAAAAATAAAAAAAAAAAAAAAATTTCTCTAAGCTTGGTTTTTAAGAAACTAAATTATGTATTATAAATAATGTAAATCTTGCATATATTACTCACAAATTACCCCAAAGTTACATGTATGCTACTTTCATTTTCAGTTGTTCTACATTTTGTTATTTGTGAAAGGTTCATTAGTTTTGGGAGTTTTGCCATTTTTTTAAGTGTTCTATATTTAGCTATTTTTGAGGGGTTCTTTATTTAGCTGTTTTTGAGGGGTTCTTTATTTAGCTATTTTCGAGGGGTTCTATATTTAGCTATTTTTGAGGGGTTCTATATTTAGCTATTTTTCGAGGGGTTCTATATTTAGCTATTTTTGAGGGGTTCTATATTTAGCTATTTTCGAGGGGTTCTATATTTAGCTATTTTTGAGGGGTTCTATATTTAGCTATTTTTCAAGGGGTTCTATATTTTGATATTTTTCGAGGGGTTCTATATTTTGCTATTTTTGAGGGGTTCTATATTTAGCTATTTTTCAAGGGGTTCTATATTTTGCTATTTTTGAGGGGTTCTATATTTAGCTATTTTTCGAGTGGTTCTATATCAGTTATTTTTGAAGGGTTTTATATTTTGCCATTGTTGTTTTGTTCCATATTTTGCTATTTTCTATAGTAATAAAGTAAATAAAGTCCCACTTAAATTTAATAATCAGGTATAAACATTACATAACTTTAAAATGGACATTTTTATGCTTTAGCTCTACTATTTCCAATTTTGAAATTTTTATCTTTTAAAACAAGAGGCCCATAGGGCCTGTATAGCGCACCTGGCAGCTTTGCTTGACTACAAATGATTAATTAAAACTAAAGGAAAAGAAATTCTATATATCCAAGAACACAGCACAAAACATATCTATTTTCCTGTTGGACCCCAACTCTCTGTCCCTAGAGGGTCAGCTAAATCATTCATAATTCAGACCAAATCATTCCTATAGAGATTAGTAGGCTTTTAAAGAATTTTCTCTCTTTCCAATATTGAGCAAGCCATTCCTGCCCCAGGGAGCTGAGACCAATTGTTTACACAAAATTGATTATCCTTCAGCTAAGAATGCTTCGGACCAAATTAGGACAAAATCCAATCATTCCTACAGGAGGAGTAGGATTTTAAAGAATTCACTCTTTTTCCAATATTGGGCCATGCCCTTCCTGTCCAAGGGGGCCAAGACCCACCATTTAAACAAAAGTAATAAATCTTTACCCGAGTAGTCTTCAGACCAAATTTAGCCAAAATCCAATCATTCCTACAAAAGAATTAATGATTTTGAAGAATTTGCTTTATTTCTCCTATTGGACCCTGCCCCTCATGCCCTAGGGGTTGAGACCCACATTTATACAAAATTTGTTCAACTTCCCCTAATGATGCTTCTGACAAAATTTGGTCAAAGTCTGTTTAGCCATTCATAACATAATTGTTTCAATTTTTAATAAAAGTTGACAGATGGCCACTGCTGTATGCTAATAGTTCAATTAGCCCTTTTTGTCCAGGTGAGCTAAATATTTTTCACCTTCCCCAAGAAAGCTTCAGACCATATTTGGGAAAAATTCAATTCTTCCCGCAGGATGATTAGGATTTTAAAGAATTATTTGCTATATTTTCCATTTTAGGTCCCAGCCCTCTGGCCCCTGGTGGTGAAGAGACCCATCATTTATACAGAAGTTGTTTCATTTCCCCCCAAGGACACTTCTGACAAAATTTTACAATACACATTACCTACAACCAGTGGCTTATACAGACAGGTTTGTTACATACAGGTGGTCTTTACATACAGGTCCAATGACTCTGAATTACAATACATTGGACCTACAACCAGTGGCCTGTATAGACAGGTTTGTTACATGCAATGCGGTCTTTAAGGCAGGTTTGACTGTACATACGTTCTTATACTGAATCTATATACAGTACTTGCCAGCATTAGTAGTTGACAGTAAGAATTGGCACAGCGGGGAATTGTCACCTGCAGAAATTTAAATGAATATGTGAGGATTCAGGGAAGATGTCGAGCCATTGTAGGAAACTCAGAGACATTTTGTGTGAATTATCACCTGCAGAAATTAAAATGGATATGTGAGGATACAGGGAAGATGTCGAGCCATTGCATGAAACTCAAAGACATTTTGTGTGATGCAAACTAATAAAATGAACATATGCAATGGTAATAAAGTGATATCATTGCAAAACATATTCCCTTAAGATAGCGCCATCATTTTCAGTTATGTCTGAAGCAACCATTAAGTTTTCTTTTGAGACTCCATAGTCTAGATATTATTTTTGATCTGTTCATGTCACATGACCGATGACAACTGTAATTCTAAATATAGAAAACTACCAGGAAAGACAAAACAGTTTTGAAAACTCATTATCCTTATTTCTCATTCCATCAAACCTAAGATGAATATTTTGCAACTCATTTTCAATCATATTCTACAGGGAAACACACTCCTTTAATTTTCTACAACTCTAAAACAAAAATAAAAATTTCAAGCACTGTGTATTTGCAGTGAGTTGGTAAACAGTTGCATTGCTTGTGATGAACACAATTTTATTATATTTCTCCACTATCAGCAAACTTTCATCTATAGCGGTTAGAATTTAATCTAAAACAAGCAGGCAGCTGTTGGTATCTGCCTTTAGCAAAAAATTTTACAAAATTCAATTAATTTTCACAATGTATGTACTTTTGCTAAAGATGTGAACTGGAATTTCTTAATACGATTTCATTGTCAATTTCCTGTCACAACATATTTAACATCATACATCAGACACTGGCATCACTGATACTGGTAAACAAAATAAAAATAAAAAAAAAAATAAAAATAAAAATAAAAAGTGTTCTTACAGGATAAAAAAATTCACAGATGATAAAACAATTTCCTCATCATATCTAAACATCTGTTTCACTTTCTCAATATAGAAATGAAACTTTCCCACACGTAACATCACTTACCAGAGAAAGAAACATCACTTTCCCAACTGATAAACATCACTTTCCCAACTGATAAACATCACTTTCCCAACAGATCAACATCACTTTCCCAACAAAGAAACACCTCTTTCCCGACAAAGAAACATCAATTTCCCAACAGATCAATATCAATTTCCCAACAGATCAACATCAATTTCCCGACAAAGAAACATCAATTTCCCAACAAAGAAACACCTCTTTCCCCACAAAGAAACATCACTTTCCCCACCAAGAGACATCACTTTCCCCACAAAGAGAAATCACTCTCCCCACAAAGAAACATGACTCTACCCACAAAGAGACATCACTCTCCCCACAAAGAAACATGACTCTACCCACAAAGAAACATCACTTTCCCCACAAAGAAACATGACTCTACCCACAAAGAAACATGACTCTACCCACAAAGAGACATCACTTTCCCCACAAAGAAACATGACTCTACCCACAAAGAAACATGACTCTACCCACAAAGAAACATGACTCTACCCACAAAGAAACATGACTCTACCCACAAAGAAACATGACTCTACCCACAAAGAAACATCAATGTCCTCAATAAGCAAATGAAAATTACTTATAAA